CCCAGTATCTGGCATTTTCTTTCTACTATAATTGGTAGTTGTTTGCTAAAAGCTTAGCACTCCACGTGCAGGTGTAACGTCGGGGCGCAAAATCACTTGTATACGACTTGAATACTGGTCAGGGGGTTGTAAACAGTAGAGCAGCTCTTCGCTGCGATCTGCTGAGACTTAGCCCTTGATCGGATGATTTGTCTTTTTTATATACTATAGACATGTTTATCCAAGTGCCGTAGGCCAGAGTGCATTGTCAAAAGTAGACCCAGGCAATCAAATTTCACCAGGCATTTTTGGTTTATGAGTCTGTGACGATCCGATTAAAAATTGCCTCAGGCAAAGTAGACCAAAGTGCAATTGACCAAGTGTCGTAGGGTGTCGTAGGGTAATAGGGTTCCCCCAGGCAATCAAATTTCACCAGGCATTTTTGGTTTATGAGTCTGTGACGATCCGATTAAAAATTGCCTCAGGCAAAGTAGACCAAAGTGCAATTGACCAAGTGTCGTAGGGTAATAGGGTTCCCCCAGGCAATAATTATCTACTCAAGTATACTCAAGTAAAAATCATTTACTCAAGTATAAAATCATTTACTCAATTATACTCAAGTAAAAGGTATGTATATAATATAGGGTTCCCCCAGGCAATCATTATCTACTCAATTATACTCAAGTAAAAGGTATGTACATGATAAACTACAATTTATAAAAAACTTAAATAATTTTTTCTATAGACTCAAGTGTGTATTCTTAGACTCAAATTTTTGCCAAAGCATTAAAAAAAGATTACGACACCCCCGATTCCCAGGACGTCTCCGTTCCAAGTACTAAGGAAGCCCAGCGTTGCTTAACTTGCCAGATCGGACGGGATGGCGTGCTTTCAACGCGGTATGGTCGTAATCACTGTGTTTTCAATTTCTCAATATTTAAGAAAAAATTCTCTAAGGCAAAGTGGGCGGGGCTATTTGTTGTTCGCTGTTCGCGGGAATGGTTTAAGGCAAAGAGAAAACGGGCAATTATAAAAATGTGTGGGAGAAAAATTAGGATTAAAAAAATTTTTTTGAAGAATTAAATTTTTCAAAAAAAATAAAGCTTATAATAATAAACTTTAATCTTTTTTTAAATTTAAAGTTTATTATTATAAGCTTTATTTTTTTAAAAAATTTAATGTTATTATTATTTTAAGCTTTATTATCAGATATTTTAAAGCAGCTTTATTCTAAATCTGATAATAATCATAAGCTTTATAATCCTAATTTTTCTCCAGCTGCAATATTTATTTGGCTCCAGACAATTGTCAGGAATTGCCATTGATAACTTTTGTGAAAGTGCCGCTGATAAATTGTAAATAATTTAGATATCTTTTGCAAAGGAAATTAAATATATAATAAGCTGTCATTAATTTTTTAATTTCAGATTATTTTCGAGATTTTATTCTAAAATTATCAATATAATCAATATTAATGACAGCTTAATTACCCGCAGACTGGGTAATTCCAGCTCTGCTAACTACCTAAATAAAAGATATCTGGTTGATCCTGCCTGAACTGATGTGTTCATTTCAAAGATTAAGCCATGCATGTATAAGTTTAATCGTTTTAACGAGAAACCGCGAACGGCTCATTACAATGGCCATGATTTACTTGATCTTGATTATCTAAATGGATAACTGTGGAAAAGCTAGAGCTAATACATGCACCAGAGCTTTGTCCTCTCGGAAAAGCGCATTTATTAGAACAAAACCACGCGGCTTCGGCTGCTTCTTGTTGACTCAGAATAACTAAGCTGACCGCATGGCCTTGTGCCGGCGGCGTGTCTTTCAAGCGTCCACTTTATCAACTTGACGGGAGCATAATCGACTCCCGTGGTGGTGACGGATAACGGAGGATCAGGGTTCGACTCCGGAGAAGGGGCCTGAGAAATGGCCACTACGTCTAAGGATGGCAGCAGGCGCGCAAATTACCCACTCTCGGCTCGAGGAGGTAGTGACGAGAAATAACGAGACTGTTCTCTTTGAGGCCGGTCATCGGAATGGGTACAATTTAAACCCTTTAACGAGTATCAAGCAGAGGGCAAGTCTGGTGCCAGCAGCCGCGGTAATTCCAGCTCTGCTAATACATAGAATTATTGCTGCGGTTAAAAAGCTCGTAGTTGGATTCGTATCGGTACCTTGGAACCCTTCGGGTGTTTCTGGGTGTTATCGATTTATCGTAATGTTCGGTTTTGAGTCCTTAACAGGATTTTTAACAGTCATTGCAAGTTTACTTTGAACAAATCAGAGTGCTTCAAACAGGCGTTTTCGCTTGAATGATTGTGCATGGAATAATAGAAAACGATTTCGGTTCAGTTTTATTGGTTTTACGGACTGAGATAATGGTTAACAGAGACAAACGGGGGCATTTGTATGGCCCCGTGAGAGGTGAAATTCTTGGACCGTGGCCGGACAAACTACAGCGAAAGCATTTGCCAAGAATGTCTTCATTAATCAAGAACGAAAGTCAGAGGTTCGAAGGCGATCAGATACCGCCCTAGTTCTGACCGTAAACGATGCCAACTAGCGATCCGCTGATGGAAATTATATTGCCTTGGTGGGGAGCTTCCCGGAAACGAAAGTCTTCCGGTTCCGGGGGAAGTATGGTTGCAAAGCTGAAACTTAAAGGAATTGACGGAAGGGCACCACCAGGAGTGGAGCCTGCGGCTTAATTTGACTCAACACGGGGAAACTCACCCGGCCCGGACACTGTGAGGATTGACAGATTGATAGCTTTTTCATGATTCAGTGGATGGTGGTGCATGGCCGTTCTTAGTTCGTGGAGTGATTTGTCTGGTTTATTCCGATAACGAGCGAGACTCTAACCTACTAAATAGTTGGTACATACTCTTTGTGTATACAGCTTCTTAGAGGGATTTGCGGCGTTCAGCCGAAAGAAATTGAGCAATAACAGGTCTGTGATGCCCTTAGATGTCCGGGGCTGCACGCGCGCTACACTGGCAAAATCAACGTGCTTGTCCTACCCTGAAAGGGGCGGGTAAACCATTGAAAATTTGCCGTGATTGGGATCGGAAATTGCAATTATTTTCCGTGAACGAGGAATTCCAAGTAAGTGCGAGTCATCAGCTCGCGTTGATTACGTCCCTGCCCTTTGTACACACCGCCCGTCGCTGCCCGGGACTGAGCCATTTCGAGAAATTTGGGGACCGTTGATTTAATTTATCTAAATTATTTTGATGGAAACCAATTTAATCGCAGTGGCTTGAACCGGGCAAAAGTCGTAACAAGGTAGCTGTAGGTGAACCTGCTGCTGGATCATTACTTTATGTGATGTTCAATTTTGAATCGCAATGAAATAATTGTTGTGTAACGGCTGTCGCTGGTGTCTAGGTGTTGCTGATACAGTTGTGAACGTCCGTGGCTGTATATGTGGTGACATGTTAGGACTATAATGAGTTTAAGACTTAATGAGCCTCTTAAGTGAGGACGCCAGCACTCTTTTTTTATATTTAAAAAAAAACAAAATTCCTAGCCTTTCCGGTGGATCACTAGGCTCGTGGATCGATGAAGAACGCAGCAAACTGCGATAAGTTTTGCGAACTGCAGCAGCCTTGAGCATAAAAGTTTTGAACGCATATTGCCGCATAGGGGTCAAACCCTTTGCTATGTCTGGTTCAGGGTCATTATCTTTCAAAGCGAAAGCTTTATTGTATAATTGCTTTTGTGGCTTCTTTATGTTTTAAATTGATTGTTAGATATGTTTAATTGTTCGCATGTATCATCAACAATATTGATTTTTTGACCTGAACTCAGTCGAGAGCACCCGCTGAACTTAAGCATATCAGTAAGCGGAGGAAAAGAAACTAAACAGGATTCCCCTAGTAACGGCGAGTGAATAGGGAAATGTCCATCGCTAAATCATTTTGCCTAAGGCATTATGAGGTGTAGCGTATAAGCCGTAATTTTTAATCTTTTGTCTCAAATAAGTCCCCTTGACAGGGGTTCCACAGAAGGTGCAAGTCCTGTACATTGAGATAATTGATCGATATTTACGTGCTTTAGAGTCGGGTTGTTTGGGATCGCAGCCCAAAGTCGGTGGTAAACTTCATCTAAGACTCAATATTGCCACGAGACCGATAGCAAACAAGTACTGTGAAGGAAAGTTGCAAAGCACTTTGAAGAGAGAGTTAAAGAGGACGTGAAACCGGAGAGGTGGAAACGGATAGATTCGGCGTATCTTTCAAGTATTCATTTACATTATTTTTATGTTGTGATCTCTGAGCTCCAGATTGGGACAGAAAGAAGCATCATAATTTTCTGTGATGCATTTGCTTGTTTGGTGCTTGGGGATGTTTGAGGCAGATTTGTAACCGCCGTTTTGAGGCCAGCTTGCTGGTACCCAAACAGCGTTAGCATCTTTTGTCTTGGACATTTGAGTATGGTTTACGGGCATTTATTGGTTCGATCTGATTGTAAGTTACGGTCGCATGCGACACGTGCTTTTCATTTAGATCGGTCCAGTTAATGCTCTCGTACTCGCTCCCCATGTAAAAGCCGGTCATCTATCCGACCCGTCTTGAAACACGGACCAAGGAGTTTATCGTGTGCGCAAGTTTTTGGGTGTTAAAAACCTAAAAGCGAAATGAAAGTAAATGGCTCTTTAGAGTCTGACGTGCGATCTTGTAAAAAAGGGCAGCATGGCCCCATTCTAACTGTTTACAGTAGGGTGGAGGAAGAGCGTACGCGGTGAGACCCGAAAGATGGTGAACTATTCCTGAGCAGGACGAAGCCAGAGGAAACTCTGGTGGAAGTCCGAAGCGGTTCTGACGTGCAAATCGATCGTCTGACTTGGGTATAGGGGCGAAAGACTAATCGAACCATCTAGTAGCTGGTTCCCTCTGAAGTTTCCCCCAGGATAGCTGGAGCTCATTAGTAGTTATACTCGGTAAAGCGAATGATTAGAGGACTTGGGAACGAAATGTTCTTAACCTATTCTCAAACTCTAAATGGGTATGATG